AGAGAGAGAGAGATAGAGGGGGGGGGGACAGAAGGAAACGCAAGACTTTTGGATTACCTTCCGGAGCCAGTTTGTCGGCGGTCAGGTTGTTTGTGCGCGCCATGTTGTAGGCCGTCATGGTGGCGTGCCCCGGGTACGGGTTTTCGGCTTCTGAGAGGCAGTAGTCCTTGGTCGACTTCTCTTGATCGTCGTTGGCGCATAAAGGATCATCACACTTGACTTTGTTTTTCTCGCCGATTTTCACAACGCTTTTGTTGTTTTGTTCGTCGTTGAATTCCACTAAGCGATGGCCCTGGTCATTCTCGTCGAATTCCTCTAAGTTCAGGCCACGGCCATTGTCATCGAAGAATTGGCCGCTGTCCTCAAAATCGCTGGCGTAGTCGCTGGCGTATTCTGAGTCGCTGTCCATGAAGTCGTTCGTATCCCATCCGCTCGTCGACTCCGACTCGTCATCGGAATCCGCCCCGAGCAGGTATTGTCGATCGGGGATTTCCGGATCGACGCTGTCCGGGTCGTCCCAGCCGTCGGCCGGAGGAAGCGTCGGCAGCAGCGCCGCCGCCATCAGGAGGAAAATGATGCGCGTCACGCTGGCCATGGCCTGCGGGAGGGACACGGCGGAGTTACGCTTCGTCGTGAAAGGAGTCAAGGGATGCTCTCGCGGGCCGCGGGGACGGAGCGGGAGCCTAACCTAACGGAGGGGAGGATTCGCCGGACTCATTTGCTTTTGTACCAGACTATTTTTCTGACGGATTTCGATGCGCTGAGTGCATTTGACATTCGTTATTCTTGGAAGTTTTTATTACACAAGCACTTCCTAACGGTGAGAAAAAAAAGATTAATTCAGAACGCATCCAAATTCCTCCGGAAAACGTAGCCTTGCCCTACATATCCCTTTTCCCATCCCGATCTAACCTAACTGAGCCAGAAGAAATCCTAACACGTGCAACATATTCCCTCCCGACGCACGCGAGCCGCACCCCCCCCCCTTTCCCGAGCCGACCGGATCGGGAGTCGGCGCCTGCCCTCGCCGGATCCGCCTTTCAGCGCCTTGCATGCATGCTGGACATCTCGGGGAATCGGCCGACGTCGGTTCACTTCACGACGCCGGCCGACTCCCGAGAATTAACCTAGACTGAACCCGAGTCCAGCTTAATTCTTGAAAAAATAGAAAAAACAAAAATCTATTCTAAAATAATCTAAGCCACCTTGATTCAACATGAACTGAACTTCCGCCGTCACTGCCAAGGAATGATGGAACAAGAAAAAGGAAGAAAATCGGAAAACCATCGTTGCTTCCAGAAGCTTCCGGGGATAATAAGACTTATAATAACAATAATAATAATGATAATAATAATAATAATAATAATAATAATAATAATAATGATAATAATGATAATAATGATAATAATAATAATAATGATAATAATTATTATTGTTATTATGATAATATATATGTACATATATATTACAAAACAATTTCCCATTCGACACCTCCAACCCTTTAAGAAACAAAAAGTACATTGATCCCTACCAATTCGCCATGAAAATTCCTTTTTTTTTACCTTATATTTGCCTAGATGTGCCACTGTTCCAAGGAAGTAGAATCTCGGCGTCTTGGTGCGAAGGCGGGCGGGACCAGACTGCTTTTTTCGCGCCAAAAAGATGGCGTCGCGTGACCGTTATTTTTTTTTTAATTGTATAGATTTTTTATATAGATTTTATTGATTTATCATTATCATTATTATTATTGCTATTATTGATTTTATTATTATTATTCGTATTACTATCAGTTTTCATCATTGAATTTCTTTTATCATTATAATTACATTTCACACAAAATACATTCTTGCCTTCCTTTGAAATGAAATGAAACGGGTTAATAAAAAACAAATGAATTGAAATAAAGTAAAACATCCATAGCGATGATTAATTCCCAAAATACTGTATAGGATGAATTTAACTTACAATAGGAATCCCCAAATACTTTAGACCAGTAATCCCTTCATGGATTCCTTGATTTCTCATCGACCCACAGGCATGTACAAAAAAGGAATATTAATAACAATTAAGTTGATGTGCAGTTTCCATATGATTAGTGAGGAGAACTGCATACCAAAATAAAGCTAAGGTTAAGTTAAAATGTTTTAAAATGTTACAGTAATACAAAGGTAATAATGAACCATGAAGTAACGTTTATCAAGGAAATAAAAAATAGAACATATTTTTGAAAAATCTAATTAATGCATCCACGTGGAAACAAGCATTATCATAACGGTCCACTGTATTGTGATTCCAAACAATTAATTATTGTAGTTATATTATTAAAATTATGTTTCATTAAACAAAATACAAATGAAAAGACAAAAATAAAAATCAAGTATACATAAATTCCCTTTGAAAATTCACCTCGGAGGCCCTTGATTTACAATTTCAAGCTTTAATTGTTTCATTTGGACTACATTTATGCTTTTAACGATCTTTTGAATACTCCCAATAATTGTTGTTTTCCCTCCAAAAAGGTATTTACGTTATATCCAAGTTTATTCTATGCATTCATTCTAGTGTTATATATATATATACAATGTATATATAAATACATACATATGTATATTCATATGTGTGTGTGCATATTCACCCTAATATTACCCACACACGCATGTGTTTATGTGTGTGTTTAAATAACTTTAAAATAATTGTTGATGGTTCATTTCATTTGATGAACATTCTATGAATGANAGAGAGAGAGACTTGAGAGAGAAGACGTAGAGAGAGAGAGATGAGAGGAGAGAGACGGAGAACCAGAGAGAGAGAGAAGAGGCTGCGATCGAGCGGGAGGAGAGAGGGTTGGTACGAGAGAGAAGAGTGCTGGAGAGAGAAGAGGTGGAGAGAGAGGGCAGAGGTGGAGACTCAGAGCAGAGAGGTGGAGATAGCAGCAGATGCAGGTCCGGAGACTGAGAGAGAGGTGCGAGAACGAGGAGAAGAGCGTTGAGACGAGAGACAGAGCAGGCTGAGGAGAGCAGAGAAACGACGAGAGACTGAACGTAGACGATGAGAGAGAGAAGACGAGACCGAGACCCACCCCGACCGAGAGAACGACACGGAGAGGATGAGAAAACGGACTAGACAGGACGAGAGCACCTGGAGCGGAGGACCAGAGAGACAGCGACCGAGCAGGGAGGGAGGAGAGACGAGACAGACGAGAGAGAGCAGCAGAGAACCGAGAAGAGACCGGAAGAGAGAGAGGTGCAGAGAGTCAGCATCCCGACTACGCGCCCCGCCACAACTTCCCTCCTCAAGACAGCTCACCGCCGGCCTGACGACCTGGAATGGGGAGAGAAGGCACGAGACGCGAGGAGAGGAGACTGCCGAGGACGCTGTAGGGACGGACGGAGAGAAGAGAGCAGCAGAGAGAAGGAGGGCGGGGAGCGACCGGGAGAGAAGATAGAGAGAGAGAGACCGAGAGAGAGAGACGAGAGAGAGAAGAGAGAGCAGCAGAAACACCGGGACAGACGAGTAGAGAGAGAGCGAGAGAGAGAGAGAGAGAGAGAGATGGCTGCACCATCTTGCGCTCTCAAGCGGCGTGTTCTCGTGTTCATGTCCGTTTCTTTCACTCCTCGATCCCGCCCCCAGGTACTCAAACGCGGCGGCAAACCACCCTGGACTTTCCTGCGCCGGAGACTGCAGGGGCCCTTATCATGCCTCCACGGAGAGCATTCGAGACAAGGCGTCATAAACAAGTTAAATAAATATGGACGAGGCCGTAAAATTGCGCAAACAAAAGGAACAAAAATAACAACGTATCCTTGAATAATACAAGCATTTTTGTTCAAACATGATTTTAGATTGAGATTTTCATGCTTTACTTAGCCAACATATTACAACATTTAAAACAAAATTACAACAAAAAATAGAGTTGAAAATATGACCACAGTAAATCATGAAAAAACGAATACCCCATGAAAGCCTTATTACAGGAGTACTTAAAGCTTTTTATCCAAGGCGACCCGCTCTACTTTCCCGCGCGCCCGTGCGCCCGTTGCGTGTCCACAACTACACGTGTTTGCCACAGGTGAATAACGGCCCAATTTAGTACCATCTGGGTGCGTATGTCTGCGTGTGACCTCATTTCGACTCATTTCGCCAAGCCATAACCGGATGGAATTAAAGCCCATTTCGTTCCATTATGCCGGGCGGGAAACTGCCTCAAACGGCGGCCAATTCATCCCTCCGCATCAGGACGCCGAGCCACCCGGCCGGGCGCTGCGGGGAGGACGGGCGGCGGAGGGGACGGGAAGGCCGCCTCCGTCCGGGCACTCAATCTCATCACTGTTCCTTTTCTCTCTCCCTCTCTCCCTCCATAGATAGATAGATAGAAAGATAAACGTGCCTGTGCGCGCGCGTCCCCGAGTGAAGCCCGGGCGGCCCGCCTGGAGGCCCCCCCCGAGGGACACCCACGAGCAAGAGTAATAATTACAGCGAAGTGTTACCGCCCCCCCCCCCCCCCCCCCGCGACGAGAAAGTCATCGGAAGTCAATATCATCTCCATCGGCGTCCGGCCGAACGGGACTGCGCTCAGATACAGCCGCTGGCGCCGGGTGGCTTTCGCTGGGCCTGGCGGGGCGAGGGACGCCTCTCGGGCTCGCGGGACGCGGGGCTGAGCGGAAAGAGAAGCATTTAGGTCATTTGTTGATAACAACAACAACCATAATAATAATGATGATTGTAATGATGATAATTATGAGATTGATAATAATCATAATGATTATATAAAAAATAATGACAGTAATAATAGAAATGAAAGTAGTAGCACTACTTAGTAGTATAGTATAGTAGTAGTAGTAGTAGTAGTAGTAGTAGTAGTAGTAGTAGTAGTAGTAGTAGTAGTAGTAGTAGTAGTAGTAGTAGTAAGTAGTAGTAGTAGTAGTAGTAGTGTAAGTAAAGAGAAGTAGTAGTAGTGGTAATAATAATGAAAATAATAATAAAACTAATAATAATACCAACAACCATGCCAGCAATCCGTCGTGAACCAGCGCCGCCCGCAGGATCCCCGCCCGTAGACCTGGTCCCGGCACCGCCTCCTGTGCCACGTCGCCGAAGTGCTGATCAATAGCAAGACACGGAACCAGGTCGCACGGCCTGCCAGGCACGTCGGAAGTGTAACTCGCACTCACAGACGGCCCCGCACTCGGCGAGGGTGGGGCGGGACTATCAATTAAGCGTCGACATTTGGTGGCTGATGCGCGCTCGGCGGCCGCTCGGTCTGGCCGGAGGGTTTTGTTCGAGAAGACACTGATCATTCCTTTGGGAATAAATAGCTCTACGTCCTGACGGAATGACAGAATGGAATGCTGATTCATTTCCGATGTAGGAGGGACTGTTTAAAAAAATATGAGGCTTTTCCAGATATTTTTACTGCTTTGCTGCCGCCTTCTTGTCACCTCCGCTGAATGCCTTTTGAGATTCTGGAAATATACCCTCGATATGCCTTCGTGCCGTCTTCCGAAGAGGCCATTCCATATACAGCGTTTCTTTCCGCCATATATCCTGAATGAAGCCAAATCCAACAAAATAGCCAGGTCTAAATATCTTGATCCCCTAGAATCCTCGAGGAAATCTGCTATAACTTGGGGTTTTATCCGAGCTGACGGCGGATCAGCGTCAGGCACAGACACCTGTTACTCCTCCGACTCGCAAGATTTCCCTCCTTCGGAGTCTGCGGAAGGACCTCCAAGGGGAAGCCGAGGCATTATGCTTTTTCTTATTTTCTGCCTTTCTTTCTTTGTTTCTTTCTTCACTCCCTCCTTTCTCTACCTATATATTTCTTCCTTTCTCTCTCGTTTAGTGTCTTCCTCCTTTTCACTCCTTCCTTTCCAACCAACGAGATGAAAACAAAAGCAAAATGGAAATAACCGCAGGGGACTTCGGGCCGAGAACACGGACGGCGACTGGGACAGACAGGCGAAGGGAAGGCGCTGCCCTTTGCTTCGTGTTCGTCTGTCTGTCTGTTTTCTGTCTGTCTGTCTGTCTCTCTTGCTATCCAGCTCCTCCCGTCCATCTTTCCCTTTGCCCCTCTCTTTCTCGCATGATTCCGTGTCATGTTCTATTACTTTTAATGATCTTTTCTCATTACCGTTTGACGTCATTAAGAAATCAAGCAGGAAATCAAACACACTCAAGCAAATAACACTGAGCAGCAAGTTGCACCCGGCCGCACGCGCCCGCAGCGCCTCGAGCGACACGCGAGAAGGCAAGCGCGGGGTCATTGCATGCAAGCAGAGCGCACGCCACTCGACGCCGCAAGCTCCCATAACAACCCATAGCAAGCCTGAGCAACGCGAGTCAACCTCCGCGCAAGCTGGTTCCTCTGCCAAGGCTTGCGTAACACGGACGCAGTGCGGGTTCTCAGCCTCGAGCGAGACTCGAGGACGACTCAAAGAGGACACGAAAAAAAGACCCAGAAGAAAAATCATGAAGAAATTAAGACTTAAAACAAACAAAAAAGACCCAGAAGAAAAATCATGAAGAAATTAAGATTTAAAAAAAAGACCCAGAAGAAAGAATAAATACGAAGAAATTAAGACAACCAGAGGAAGAAGACAAAAGACGAAGAGATTCAGGCTTAAAACGACAGGAAAAAAAAGACCCAGACCAAAAAAAAGGAATGA